TCTGCTCTGCAGTGCCTCAAGAATTCTAAAGACAAGAACTTTGAAGTACAGGGGTTATTTATTGAATGGATAGGATAGAAGCAGTTTGACTTTAAACTTTCTTTCTTTCACTCTGTGGCTGAATTAGCTGATTTTCATGGTCAAGCATCAGCGTCAACATCTCTATCTTAGGTGAAGCCACAGAAATAGTGAAATATAAACAATAACTGTTAATAAAATGAGGCCTCTACAGCTGACTTAAGAGTTGCTTTATTCACTTGATTCTCGTCAAAGTAGATAATGAGAGGGTTTGCTCCTTCTACAAGAAAGATACAAGACAAGAACAAACATCAAAGAGGAGGAACTCTGCAGAAATGTTCTGAAATAATGCATAAGATAACTGGTCAGGGAGCCACTGGTGGGATGTTGGGAATTATGTTTTATGGTGGGTCTTGTTTATGGCCAGTTAGACTAAAGGATATAGCAGGTGTTGCTGTAGGATCTGATGGGTGAACTATGCGATCTGTTCTACTATATGCAGTTACCTCAGGCAACTTAAACGAAGAATCTGTCATGGCCTTCTTTACTTCTGCTGTGCTCCCAACAGGAGAAAATTCTTAATTAAGCACTGGTAGCCACTACAAGAGAGCTCCTTGAGTTCAAGCTCTGTTTTGAGGATGATGTTTATTTTATAAATTCCTGACACCTACAGAAATGCTTATGACAATTAAGGGGTTTCATGATAAATTGTTTTTGAAAGAAAGTCAAAGCGAAAAAAGAAAACTGTGTTTTCTTGAAATATCATGGCTGCTAACTTTTTCTAGCTTTTCATTCTGACTGAAGTTCAGACTTCAAGTGTCGCCTTTGTGGATAAGCATACGCTATGCTTCATTTCACTTGAATTTCAGGCTGAGACCATAAAATAATATAAATCAAAACTCTTATCCTTGAGATGTTAGTTCACTTTATCAAAATGACATCATGTTTCCAGACCTAGTAATACAAGCTTCAGATTCTAGTATTTTTCTTCATGTTGACTTCATTTGTATTTTTTTTTTTTTTTTAATGTTGGAATCAAGGAAAATAAGACAGTAATTGACCTTGGTGACTGACCTTTGAGCCAGATATATCCAACTGCAGCAGAACTAATGTATTTCTTTGCCTCTTGACCTTTCTGAGAATGCCTTAATATGCATCATTCTGCCTGATGCACTTTCTATACCATCTATTTTCTATTTGGGCTTTTTAAATTCATTTGTTTGAGCTGGTTATTCCAGAAGCCCTACATTCTATTTTTTTTGTTTTGTTTTTCCATATCACCTACTCTATGACCACCTATGCACGCTCTCTGTGCAGATTTTGAAACAACTTTTGTTTCCATTAATTTCACCTCACTTCCTTCTGCTGCAACTAATTGTTTCTTCTAAACAGTGTGTTTCTATCACATTATCCTTTGGAGTTTCTATTAGAGATTAAGAGATTATTAGAGATGTCAGCAAAGTTTCTTGTTTTCCTTTGATTGCTTAATTTATATTCCATTTTGACTTTCAGTAGTGTTTCTAACCTAAACATAAAGTCTTTTCTGCTGCTACTGTACATTCCTTTTCCAGTTGCCTCCACGCTGTACAGCATATACACTCATTTCAATTTCTCTCCTTTTTGTTTTTGCATCATCACTGAACTTGCTCTTCCATCAGCATTTCACAAATTTAGTGGAAATACTTTAAGTATATCCCAATCTTAATGTATATTTATGTAAATGTGTGTACATCTTAGTATTAAAAAAGGAGAAGCCTTTAGACAGGAATAACTAAAAACATATTTAGATGTCAAAGCCCTTGCTTCTGTTTCTCCTAGTGTGTTTGTTGGGGAGTAGTATAAGAGACCAGTAAGACTTTCAAAATGGAACTTGTTGCCTGAAGCAGGAAACAACCCAGAGATCCCAACACCCATTACTGCCATGCATAATCTGGTCTAGAAGCACTGACACCTAGTGAAGCAGGTAGTATGAGAGGCCAACTGGTACTCAAAGTAGTCATCTGAGTAACCCTGGCTTATTTACTTTCACCATTACCCCCTCATTGTCTCGTGTTCCCTCATTACAGTTAAAGCTCACAACCCTTGGGATACGTTGTTTCATTGCTGCTTTTCTCCACAGTGCACAATGTACTGCAAGATCCAGACTGACACCTCCAGCATTTTACCCTGCTTGCCTCTGCCACCAGCTTTATTCTACCAGCTGCCCAGAACTGCAGGTGTTACTGCTGCTGAGATCTACTCCTGCCTAGAGCTGGACAGTTTTAAAGAAGGCACACAATAGTGGGGCATGCAGTGTGTTGCAGCATCACTCGGTTGGGTGACCCTTGCTGTACTGATAATCTGGATGTACAACTTCAGATCATTCTTTCTAGTTACAATCTCATTGAGCACAGAACAACAGGAAAAAGTCAGCAAGAGCAATGTGAGTTGTCACTCTTAAGCATCTCACAGCTACCTAGGAAAATCTTACACCGTCTTTCCAGAGAACACTGAACACAGAAAGCCTGTTAATGAAGTATTAATGCATGGGTATTACTGAGCTCCCTGTGACACACTCTGTAATACTCAAGGTGTCAGAGGTGATCTGGCTCCCTATTGCTTAACCAGTGCAACCAAGGAGAGAAGGCAGACTCTCACTGAAGATGCCCAACTCCTTCCCATAGCAGTATCTGCTTAAAACAAAAAAATTGTTAACCTTTAAATTCTCTAGAAAGTTTGTGAGTTTGTCAGGAGAAAAACAGGCTGGAAAATTATTACTGCTTCCTTACCACATTAGCTGCGTGCTAAGCTTCTGCATGCTCTGAAGGGGGATTAAAATAGAGTGAACATTGCTTGGTGGGTCTGTCCCAACACTGCTCCCACTGTTAATCTGGTGACAAGCACTATCTGTTTTCTATAAGCATCCAAGAAAAAATAAGCCCGACAAAAACCAAAAGCCATAAGGAGATGTGCCATTAACTTAAAGCGTCAGAAAATTCATAATTCAACCTGAACATACTCAAGAATCTGGGCTTAAAATATTGGTTGTGGTCCTTTTATTGTGCACTTTTTACTAAGGACTAATGCAAAGGATGTTACATAGTTAAGCTCATTTTACATGCTGGATACAAAAGATGCAGTGACATCTCACAGCTACATCACTACAGTTTCTCCTTTCTCTTTCAGGCCTTCACCAAGTGACTAGGAATACTCTAATTAACCTGTCTCCTACACTTACCACAAAACACTGTGCACTTTCCAGGTAACTTGGATCTCTCACAGCTATATCCAGTCCTTTGCATCCTGATGTCTTTGATGTCTTCCTCAGCACCTCTAACCATAACCAAGATGGAAGAATCCTGATCCCAGTATTATCATCTGCCTCCTCACCTTATGACTTCGGGCAAATTTCACATTTCTCAGTCTCCCATTACTTTTCTCCTAGTGTTTTTGGTTGATTTTACTCTACTCTCACCCAATAGTTTTCCTCAATAATATATACTTCCTATGGGGACTGATACAAATCACCTGCTGTGGTTCCAGCTTGTTATGACACTGGAGCTATTAGCACTGCTGGAGCATGTTCACATTGGTGTTCCTCACCAATCAACTTTTAAGTTTGCATGCACATGTGTTTCTCAGTAGTGTCTAATCAGGTATGTTAATAATTGTAACCTTCTTCATAGAGCAGTGTGTCTACCCCTCAGCATGAACCAAAACCAGAAAAATCAACAAGCAAAAGGGAGGGGAATAGGTGAGGGTGCTTCTCACACCAGTGGCAGTTTGCTTCTCAAGTTGAGCACCAGGGTCTGCAGCTGCAGGGCCATGCAGATCCTCAGCACTGTCATAAATGCATAGGAATGCAAGGAAGATCTGCTGACAAGGCTCTGGCACCACAGGTAACTCGAGTGAAAGATTGCAGAGCTGAAAACAGCTGACCTGTAGCATTACAGATGCTGAGGTCTGAAGGTATGTCAGGCACCATGTACCTTCCTTTGCTCTTTATCTTCTTTATATCACATATAATTTCATAGACCTCTGCACTACCACACTCCTCTCTATCTCTATTCAGTCAGAGAAGTCTAGTTACTCATTCATTGTGCAGTCTGTCCCGAATCGGCGATCATCCCTGTCATCCTCCTCTGTGCTACTTTCAATCCCACTACAATCTTCTGAGAGCATTGCACTGGAATTACATACAATTTTCAAGACACAGTGCATGAAAGTATTATAGAGTAGCTTGCTGTTGTTTTCTATTTTGTTTTTCTTCTCCTAAATAGTTCCTCACATTGTTTTTCCTTTTTCACTGCGAGTAATGCAGTGATCTTTTCAATTTTATAAACCCTGATTCTTGTTCATAGTGAGTCCAATCAATCCTCTAGTTGTGATATACTGTGAATCTTTACCTTTTCAAGGTTTTCTACATAAATTATACAAACTGCAACAGGATCACTGAAACAGAATACAGGCATTCTGAAAGTCACAAATCTGTACGCATGTAGACACACAAAAGGTCAAGCTGAAGAATGATCTTCCCCCCCCCAGATTATTTAAACATGGGATATTTCCACATGTCTTGGGAGATATATCAGTAATTTTGTAGTCAAAATTTCGCAAAGGACTTACTGTATTTTAGAATTACTTATATTCGTAGCTTTTTCTTAAGAAGTTTGGAAAGGTGCTGTTGCCATATTGTAAGCCAGCAGCCACCATGCAATTGACTTGGAGTCAATGACCAAAACCATTTTCAATGGAATATTCATTGTCAAGTCTTTTTGATGGGCTGCTGTGGAGCTAAGCAGAAGTACTAAGACAATGACACATTTTGTACAACACATGAATGCAAAGTCTGTTCATCACATCTGAGCAGTGTTGACTCAAGCTGCCATTGCTGATACAGCAGCTATAGATTTGTGGTAAATATTAACCCATTCCTGACAAGGGAGGGGAGGACCACAGCATTAGTAACATCAGCTGGGTGGTAAAGAATTTCACTTACCAAAAACCATTGAGGTCCTGCTCTAGAGGTCTGGCTCCCAGGCACTCCAGGAATTTGTATCTGCTTGTGATTGCAATGGAAAACACATCTGCATATAAATTCCCATTGTAGTAGAATGTTTTGTGCTTCTCATGCAACAGAGATGAAGTAGAATGGGTTACTGAGGAGAAAAGAAAATACTTTAATCTCTCAGAGACTTCGGGATGACCTCCATCACCTCCCCCTTTGCTTCGCTCACAAGCAGCCTCTTCAACACTAAAGTGCCCCTTTGCTTAGAGTGCAGTTTCTCATGACAGTGGGAACAGAACTCATGGACCTCAAAACCCTGTACCCTGACCCAGTGGGAAAATACCCTGTTTAACATTCCAACTGTTCACATATCTCAAGCAATGCTTTTCAACCAGCCAAAAAGATCACACACTAAAATATCATCACAGTCAATCATAACTCATCACTAACATTCACAGTCTTGATTGTTTTCAAAGGTAAGCAATTATCAGAGATTCAACTGATAGAGATAGAAACAGTAATATTATTAAAGAGAAATCCAAAAGAATCAGAGGGCAGTGTTATCACTGATAGAATTATACTAATATGTTCTCATTAACTTTCTTTTATATATATATATATATATATATATATATATATATATATATCTCATGTCTGTTCTTTCTGATTACTTTCTATTCTTAATCCTGAAAGATCTTCCTTCTTCACTCCAAAAAAATCTAGCTATCAAATACACATAGCCAAATTTGTATTGTGACACAAGGCTATTATAAATTTTTTAATTCACTGAAGTCTTGATTCAGTAAAATATTTTGAGCAGATACGTAAGCCCTAGTATGCCTCTTTTTATTTGACAAAATCCTTGAATATCTAGTTAAATATCAACCTATTGTCTTAAATTGACCTAAAATTTATTTACCCTTCTTCACAATGCAAAGCTGAGACAGGTAATTCACTTCTTATAACTGTAAAGTTCATCTCTAAATATATAAAATTGATGCAAGCAAGACATAAGCTTGAAGCCTTTTATTTGTTGAAAAACACAGGTCATAAATTTGTGAATTCAGGCAAATACAAAAAATACTTTTGTCAATATAAAAGTTTTGCTGCTTAAATAGGAATGTTTTGTTCAGAAACAAATCAGCCTGATATGTGGAAAAGCCTCCTAGCTAACAGAATAGACCATAAGATGCAATTAATATGGATGATCCATTTAAATTAACACAATTATTAATAAACTAAATCTTCAGAGATTTCTATATACAATTCAAATTATTGAAGAAAAAAAGAAAAGAACTCTGCTAGAAAAGCTACTATTCAATAGAATTATCTGATCAGACAGTCCTACAAGGTATTACAGAATCATAAATGAAATACTTGAATGAAGTTACAGATATAAGAAGTTTGATAGTTTTATAAAGTAGAGAATACTACAAAACCAAATGGTCTAGCAATTTGAAATTGTAGAAACTCACAACCAAGAAAAATCCATACTTCACTTAAATAACCAAGCCATACTGTGCTAAATTTTGTTACAGAAAGAACAGCTGTACTTCATAGAAACAATTTGGAATATTGATCTCTAGCAGGTAGATCACATCTTGCTCACGATTTAAAAAAAAAAAAAAAAAACTAACTAACAAACAGGGAGATGATACATTGCTTTCACAATTTGCAGAATCATTGACAAAGTAAATTTTTATGTATCATGTAAGGATGGTTACTAATCAAAGAAATACCTTTCATTCTGAGGGAACAGGAAAACATCACTAGATTCTCCCAGTTACATTCTCATAAATTGTTCATCTGCTGATTTTGTAAGTCATGTACAGGAACAGCTCATTTTTCTTACAATAAACTCTAAAGTGATGCAACTGTTTATAGCCTCCCAGTTACACATCAGTGTACCACTACACCAACACAAACCTTGAGTGTTTGCATGCATTCTCTTCAGTTTCAATTAGTTGGCCCTGATGTTCAAAAGTAAGGCTGAAATCTTAATTCATCCTCTTTTGAGTATTTACATGTCAATCTTAAAACTCACAGCAATGTATTTCTCAAAACATGAATAAATACATTTCCCAAAAACCCTGCCTCATTCCAGGTCTTAGATGTAATCATCTCCTGGGAAATGTTTTCTGCCTCTGATGATGTGAAATGAATGTAAATAGAACTCAAGGTATACTGCAAAGTATGTTAAGTCACATATAAAGAGTTCACTGACCCAGAAACTTTGTTGTTCAATTCATGTGTGAACTATGAGTTCACTGACACTAAAGACCATAGAAGTGAGAAAATGTCACCAGGAGAAAGTGAACCACTCACTATTGGATATCTTAATTTATCCGTAAAGACTTTGTATCCTTAGAATAATTTTTAAACTCTCTCAAAAAGAAAGTAACTACACCTGGTTTTCCAACAGATTGAGGTACAAAGCTTTAATCATAAAACAATGTAAATGTCTCCAAAATCTGAAGATTCACTTTCCGGTCTTGAAAAGACATCATTAAGTTTCTGATTTGACATGTTTAATGTCTTTTTACATGAACTTAGAAGCCTTTCTTCTTGTCCTTGCTTAATTGTAGATTTCATCCTTTCTACCTTAATTATAGACTGAGAGTCATGTTCTTGTCTAATGTACAAACATGGAAACAAATACCCAAGGGCAGAATTTGTAATAATATCGATTTAATTAAAATATCCAATTAGCACACACTTTTGGTAGAAGACTTTTATAGATTCTGACATGGAAAGATATATTAAAATTTTGCTGCAAAAATTAAAAGCAGCACTATCAGCTCTTCTCCAATTTGCAAAAATTAGATTTCAGCATTGAATCCAGGGAAAGGTAGATAAGTTGTAGAAGAACCTTCAACAAAACTTATTTTACAACAGTCATTCCTGATTTAGTCAGTATAGACTCTTGGCATATAATTACGTATCTCTTTTTACAGAATTTGAGTTACAGAGAAGCAACGCACCACAAACAAACTGAAAGTTCAGCCTTAATAAACTACAATTTTGTTTAGAATTAACAGCTCTTACAAATTGTACTGTTTCTGTTAATATATCAAGATATATCATAAATCTGCCATATTTCCTAACCAACATGGAAAATATCACCACTACTAGCACGCATTTTGACTGAGAAAGCAGAATACCCATAACAGCAGGTGTACTTCACTCTTAATGTGAGTAGGTGCTTCAAGTTCAGCAAAGCTGATGGGTTTAAGCATTCAAAACTAAACAGCACTGCTTACAAACTTGCTTCTTAAAAACTTGAGGCAGGACAAAGAGTAGCAGGAATACGTACCTAGGCCAGATGGAACTTCAAATATTCACATGCAAAGTGGTGTGGATGTCCATTTTGAACAAGACATTGAAGTGTCTAGGAAGTCACTGGATCTGACAGAAGTTCAGCTGCTATAGAAAATAAATCTTAGAGTGATTAAATACACCTGTTGGTGGCTGGTTTTATTGGAAGTGTCTGCCTTGAAATCAATAAAAGTTATTTCACTACAATCTGTATTCGATCAGATTTGTTTATACAAAATGCTCTTGAGATTTTCCTGGCCATAACATGACTTAACAAAAATAACCTGTTCCATCAAATACTAACTAATAAGTAATTAACATTTGAAAGAGATGCTTCCCCCCCCCCCCCCCCAAAAAAAAAAAAAAAAAAAAAAAGAAGAAACACAACAGCACAACAGTTTTAAAGAGAGACTATCAGAACCTTTACATGTATTGTTATATGATGATACTTTTTCATGTTATGATAACAGGTAGATTATCACCTTGATGCATGCAGAAAGTCATTTAAGTGTTCAGGACAAACTGACAAAGAAAGAAGCAGACTTCCTTCAAGCATACAAGTAATGGTTTGCTATATAGAATTATCACCTCATAAACACTGAAGTACAATTGTTTCTTGTGCCATGTTGTTCTACTCCTTAAAGCAAAATTAATTACAAAGATTTGTTTCAATATAGGTTCCACCATAGTGAGCTAATTGTAAATAGTATCATAAGGAGTATAGCTGTATATAGAGAATAAGTGTTCATAAAGAAAACCTGATGTTATAACATCCCTCACTTAGGTCAAATGATACATACACTTCTGATACGTAATTCTAAGATCACCCAGATTATGTTTTCAGTGTCAGAATAAGAGTAATCCTTATCCAATAGTTTGTATTAAAATTGTCATAAGACGTATAGACTTGGGACCTAAGGTATTAGCATAATAAGCAGAGATAATATAGTTTGCCATTTGCGTGCAAACAGTCTTAGGCTGTAAGATGAGAAAATTCAGCAATCCCTTCTAAGCATTAAGAATAATTCACATTTTAACTGCTAAATTAACAAAATAAGTCAACTTACTTACTTCACAGTGGGTTTCAAAGCACATAATGCACAAGGACTGATTAGAGAACAGACAGGACATGCACATCCTACATGAAATGTTTGTGGTCGTCTTGCAGCAGAGACATCTCAAAGACAGCAATACATTTCTCAGTGCATATCCTTCTCTGAAGAACATTATAGGATAAATTACTACATACATGTACCTTTTGCTTGGATTTCTGGGAAAACTGATTTTTCTCCTTATTGCTTACTGATAAAAATCTATACATAATTTGCTTTCACTAATCCCCTTCGTATTCCTATCTGCTATATCTAGAGCTGCTCATCTAGGGAAGCAAGAAACAAGAATGTCAGTAAATAACCTGAGATCCTTTAGGCCAAATTTTGAGACTTCTAAGAAACCTTTTTTCTTCAAATTTCATCTTGACAATACCCAGTAATACTCCTTGCAATCCTCCCCTAATAAGGGTGTCTAAAAAGTTTTGTACTTTACAAAGAAAACTGCCTTTCATTTAGACAGCTTTCCAGGTGTGCCCATTACTCAGGAAGCCAAGTCATATTTTCAAGAAATCTGTCTCTAAGTGCCTTTAGTCATGTCTGAAATGAAGATTTAGGTTTCTAACTCACTTAGGCATTTAAAAAAAAAAAAAATTATCTGTCGTCCATCTGAAACTAATTTACCTTCTGCTTTCAAATTCCATAGGAATTCATTCCAAGATGTCATCACTCTGTTGTTAGTTTTAAAATAGCTCTATGTGCAACTTTTCTGAGCTCTTTAAAAGTTTCCTTCCAGTTTTGAAATAAGTGATTTGTCAGTTCTTCTTTATACAGCCTCTTCCTTTCCATGGAGAAAACTTCAACAGGAAGAACAAAAGAGATTTAGGGTTTTTTTTTGTCTGTTTGCTTTTTAAATCACATATACTTACATTCTAAGAAATATTTCATGTTGTGTGGTTCAGATGCTTCTATTTTCCTGCCTAAAAGTAACAGTTACTGTGGTTTGAGAAGTGCAGTTCTTCTTCAGGATAAGAGAAAGGGATAAAGGGCCATGAACCTCCTTCCTGTGTGTTCCCCAAAAATTAATGCAAAGTCTGACAGTGCCAGCAGAAGCAATGGCATCATTAGTCCTCCCTTGAAGGGTGACACACTTTGAGAGAGAAATCTGTGCAAAGTAATTGATATAGATGCTGAATTTAGTTTGTCAGTAAGAATTGGGAGAGAACAACATGCTGCAGTCCATTCACTATGAGATTCAATTTCTGAAACATGTTGGCACCTCAGAAGGAGCAAGTAGAGGGGAGAAAGAAGAAAGAGCAAGCAGAACATAAGTGATGTATTGGAGGTGCGGCACTCATACCTAGCAGAGATCTGGTTTGGTCCATTAAAAGGCATTAATGATGCTCTGAGCTTTGTTTTTCAACAACCAACTGTAGCAAATTGGCCCATTCTCAGTCTTATCCAAATTATCTCCCCTGTTACTGAGGAAAAAAGGGCTCTTCAAGGTCTTTGCCTTGATTTACAAGTGCAAAATAATGGTTCAAAGGTCCCCACTTTACGGTTTACCGTATACTACTACTATACTAGTATTTAACCTAATACTTTATGAACTATCTACATCTTTCTCAAAATGTGCTAAGGCCATTGAGAACCAGACTTATGTCCATGCTCTAAAGTCAGATGGGATTAAATAATATGACTTAGTTCCTAAAGACCTACCAAGTAAATAAGAGAGCTGCAGTCTAAAGTTTACCTGAAGTTTTTCTCCAGTAGATAATAGTTCTTGCATGAATATCATGACCATGAAGATCACTGTTATTCAAAGCATTTTGAAACATAACAAACACACCAATAGATAAATTGCATGCAATTTTCATGTTCTAGAATAGTTTTACTGCACTTCAGCTTCATAGTCTTAGTGACACTTCGCTGCAGTTGCAAGTCACTCTGACAATTCCCAATTAATGGCCCTAACCTTAGCCTCAAGTACAAGGCTCCATTTCTTTTAAAGGAACAAAAATAAAGGTTCTCCACATACATCATAGAGATACTACAAATCACTGTGACTTTATGTTTTCACCCTTATCATCCAGTACACAGATGCTTTTCTATTTTTCATCTCTATCTTATCTCAAAAAGCACCTCAGGACATGCTGAAGAGCTGCCTGTCTCCTAGAAGCATTTTCATGGTTTGTAGAAGAAAGACTGAATGCAAAGTTTTGGGAATGAGCGGAGAAAATCATTTAAACACTGAATACTTATTCAAACCTAAACAACTATCTCCTTCTCATAAAGCATCTCTCCGAGAGCACAAAACATGAAATTCCACCCTTATATTTTTAGACAAATAATTATGGGTAAATAGGAAAATATAGCAATTTCATCTAACATCTCACTCTGTGTTCCACAAATAACTTTAATTATCACTAAGCTGCTCTGTAATTGCATTGCAAACATATAATAACTTTTGCAATTAAAACTACCACATTGTTATAATTTAGACTCCACATTCCTACAGATACATAAATTAATCTCATATTTTTGGAGATTAAGTGATAACACTTTGTGGTCAAATTTGAAAGTAGAAAGCTTAGAAATAGATGCTACAGGGAAAAAGACACTGGCCCCTGATTAGTCCACTTTAAAATTTACCTTAATTAATTGAACAGAAAACTAGAAGGTCTAATAAACAAGTTCATGGACAGCTTTAAACTGAGGGGAGCATTTAACTCCCCTGAGGGTAGAGAGGCCTATGGATGGTTCAAGCAAGGCGTTAGGAGAAGATTCTTCATCAGAGGATGCTAGAGCCCCTAAACAGATTTCCCACAGCAACAATAACAGCTCCAAGTTGCTGGAGATCAAGAAGCACTTGCACAATGCTTTTGTACATCAGATTTTAATTTTGGGTCATCCTGTGCAGAGCCAGAAGTTGGAATCTGTAACGCAATGGTAAGCACAACAAGGACAGCAAAACAGCAAGATCCCATGCCACAATGAGGGAGGATTCACTCAAACCAACAGCAGTAGGTACAGAAATAAGAAAATAAGCTGCTTACCTTCAGAAGACCTCAGGTATGCAAAGATCTCCAGAAAAATATCCTCCCCTTCCACTGCCAACCCTTAAATGAGGTCTGGGAAGGGGTGGAGCCAGGATCCACCCCCTCCATCACTCAGATGCATTGCATGCACCTGTGATCCCTTGAGTTGGCCCTGCCTTCTCACCAGGTGCTCGATTACTGCTTCAAGCCCCAGCTTAGTATTTCCACTATGGATTCTGTGATCCTTGTGGCTCCCTTCCAACTTAGGAAATTCTGCGATTTCATGATTCTATGATTCTGTGACACAGAAATGTGAATATCTTTAACAAAAATGACAAGTCTTTTCTCATCTGTTGAAAACTTATGTGCTGTACAGATATTGCCCCTGCCAGAATCACAATGAAAAATGAGTAAAATGTTAAGCTGCCTGTGGGCTGCACCATGCGTGTTGTGGTACCCTTGCACCTTGGTGACATCTCACCCCACCAGTGACAACAGACCTTTCCCTCTCTGACAAATGCTATTTATAAGCAGAGTATGGACTGACTTGTTCCTGTATTTCAGAGAGCACCTTTGCTTTTTTCAGATGTCAGCATAGGGAGGAAGGATTGAAGGCCAAGGATGTGCCTTGAAGAAGAAAGGATTCTGCTGCCTCAGCTGACCTACAGGGCTGTTGGGTGCTGAATGCCACAAACAGGCTGGATTCCTTCAACCCAGATTCCTGCATAACATCAGGCAGCTCTTGTATGTTTATTTCCAGTGACTGTTCTAAATCATTGACTCTTTCTAACTTTCTCTGTTTCCAAATGACTTTAATTATTCTAATTTCACTTTCTTTCAGCATTTTCTGTGAAGTTTTCTTCTATATCTTCATATCCTTTCTTCTACATAAGCACATCCCTATTTGCTTTTCTGCATCTCTTTTCTTGCCTTTTTCTCTTGTTTCCTCTTTGACATCTTTCCCACTTTCCTGTTTTCTGTTCTATTACATTTGAAGATATGGAACTTTGGATAGCTTATTTGAGTGGCCACTTTCTAGAGGAAAGATAAAATAAGATGCATAACTAAACAGCAGTGACCTCGTTCAGACTATGAAATCCCATAATACTGGAATTACTTTCTCTTTTGACACCAAGAGCCAAAGAACCAAATCATTTCAAGAACTACCTTCCCACATAAGTGATACATGTCTACATTCATCTCTTTTGTGAGAGTCATGTTAGAAAGTGATTGTTTGGTTAACATTAAAATAATGCATGAAACATTTGATGCGCTTATACATTTAACAGTTTATGGTAGTAATACAAGACATTGGTAATAAAATAGCATGCCACTTTGATGGAAATAATAACACATACTGCAACAGAGAGCAGTCCATAGAGAAGCCACATTTCATCATTAGCTGTTAAGATCATTCCTGCCCTGGCTTGCAACACAGTGACTATTCTTTTCACATGCTGTCAGTAATGTTTTACATGACCTAAGCTTTGTACACAACCATCCAAATTTGTCTACACCAAAAGCATCAGACTGCAAATCAGAGGCTTGCGTATGAACCTCCCCATCATCCTCATAGCAGCTCACATCAACATGCATGAAAGGGCAAAGGGGATGGTTGCAGCCCTGGTTAGCCAATGGTTGCCAGAAGCACCAGAGGCAGGTTGAGACTGGTGTCCCAGCTGTCCCTGTCCCAGACTTCGGGGTCTGCAGCTTTGAAACATGTCTACATCTGAGTAGAAGGTGCTCTACACCTCTCCCACAGTCAGGATCACTGAGTTTAGGTCCACATCTGCCCTAAACTGCACAAAATTCTGAGGACATTAACTGCGATTACATACACACAAAAGCAAGGTCATAAAAACATAGTTTACATTTAAACATCTCTCAACTTCTTTGGCAACTGAAGTAGCTGTCCTGGAAGAAGACATCAAACAGTCCCTACAGGCCACAGCTGCAGGACAGCCAGGTTGCTGCACTAAGGACAGGAGGATTGCAGGGGTTGAAATAGTTTCAACAAATCTGAAAAAAAGTCAAGGGAACCTTTTGCTGTTGCAGAGAAAGTAACTACTGTAATAATAGTAGCTTAAAAAGGAAGCCTAAATGAATTCCAAGAACAACTTTGTGGTAACCTATAGAAAAAAAAATCATACTGTGAAAAAACTGATGGAGAAACCTTCGAATAAAAATGTTTGAGCTGGGAACTGGCATAAATAGCTTGCTCTTAATTCTTTTGCTTTCCTTTTTGCTTGTTTATTTGCTTGTTTGCTGAGTGAACAACCAGCTCTTAAGATCCACCAATGAAAATTTTCCCAACCCATCTTAGAAATCACACAATAAACAAACTGTAGAGTGGTTGTAAATGGCTCAGTGTGTGGATGGAGATCAGTGACAAGTGGTGACCCCCATGGGTCAGTGCTGGGACCAATACTCTTTAATATCTTTATCAATGACATTGACAGTGGAGTTGAGTGCACTTTCAGCGAGTTTGCTGATGACACCAAGCTGTGGGGTGCAGTGAACACACCAGAGGAACAGGATGCCATCCAGAGGGACCTAGACAGGCTGACCAGTGGGACTAGATGAACTTCATGAAGTTCAACAAATCGAAATGCAAGATCTTACATCTGAATTGAGGCAACCCTCATTACCAATACAAACTGGGGGATGAAAGGATTGAGCGCAGCCCTGCCAGAAAAAGACTTGGGTGTGCTGGTGGATGGTAAGCCAGATATGAGCCAGCAGTGTGCCCTTGCAGCCCAGAAAGTCAACTGTATCCTGGGCTGGATCAATAGAAGCATGGGCAGCAGGTTGAGGGAGATGATGCTGCCCCTCTGCTCAGTGCTCATGAGGCCTCACTCTGCATCCAGATGTGGAGTCCTCAGTACAGGGGAGACATAGACCTGCTGGAACATGTCCAGAGGAGAGCCACAAAAGTTATCCATGGAATGGAACACTTCTCCTACAACTTGAGAGAGCTGGGGCTGTTCAGCCTGGAGAAGAGAAGGCTCCAAGGTGACCTAATAGCAGCCTTTCAGTATCTAAAGAGGAGATATAGGAAAGAACAGGACAGTCTTTAGCAGAGTCTGTGGTGACAGAACAAGGGGTTTCAAGCTCCAAGAGGGTAGATTTAGGTTAGATATAAGGAAAAAGTTTTTTACAGTGAGGGTGGTGAGGCACTGGAACAGGTTGCCCGGTGATATGGTTCATGCCCAGTCCCTGGAGACTTTCAAGGAGAGACTGGATCAGGCCCTCAGCTAACTGATCTAGCTGTCCCCAGGGAAGTTGGACTTGATGGCCGTCAGAGGTCCCTTCCAACTCTAAGGATTCTATGATTCTGTCATTTCTCTAATTATACGTGTTTTACACTTCAGAGCAAAATTAACATAATTCTACTCATTATGGAAATAAGCCTTTTTTTTTTTCCTACCATGTGAAATATCAAAAAATATTTGATGGATAGTGGAATGAAGCACTGGAAATCAATTATTCAGTCCAGAGGTCACTAGTTTTATCTATACACTAAAAAAAAACTAGGGACAGTTCATAATTTATTTTAGCATTTAAAAAACCAGCATTTTCCTAAAGGTGCCATAGATCTAATTAATCTTTGATAGTCTTAAAAAAATTATAGGAAGATCTGTAAATGTTTCAGTGCTTCAAACGCTAACACATTCACTCAGACCATGAGATCTTTAAAACTCACTGCAAGATTAATATCATATTTTAACATAAGATAGCTCTAAAGAAAGTCTTCCACCATCATTTCATGTCAAGGCTGGCAGCTGTGCCAGGCTTTGCCTTTTAAACCCAGCTGTGTATACTCTGAACTGTCTTAATGTAAGTTCTGTTCAAAGAGATATTAATCAGGCTGGTTCAACTGCTGGGACTTAATGTTTCCACTACACACTTTTTTAATCTAGCCTTATAAACTTTATATTGAGATATAAATTAAGACTTCAAGAGCTCCTATTTGCTTCTCCAACTCTTTGCCTCAGGCTCCCTTTAATTCTAAGCTGTCTGTTGAGCTATACAAATGATGCATGTGAGAATGCCATCAGCTTTGATATGATGTTTATTTCTTCTTGTTAATGAAAAGATTTCCATTTATTTTATGCATGTTCTGGTGATCTAAGAAAATGCCATCTATGCATTGCTTTAAAGTTCACTATGATTAAATTGCTTTTTATTAAAACAATATTTTTCTCTAGTCTCAAGATTGGCACTTGCATCCTCTAATTCTGACACTTTACATTATTTCCCTGCATAATAGAATTGAAGCAGTGGAAGATTAAGAGGAGGCAATCTAATTTAATGGTTGCAATTATAGTTGGTGAAAGAATGTGTTAATCGGGAAAAATACAACTCTGATGACTTCCAATTTGGAAAAAAAAAAAAAAAAGAAAAAAGCAAAAAAAGAAGGAAAAAAACAGAGATGGGAAATTTGTGCTCAGTGACCTTTTCTGTGTATACACTTTTGTTCTAGAATCACATCTTAATATGGATATTCTGGCACAAAATTACATCCTAAAGTACATAGGCAGTGTCAGCCTGATTGCTCAGACAGTAGAAAATACTGAGGAGTTACTCAAACTTTTTCACTAACATCTGGTCAGTTACTGATGGAAGAATACTTAACTTACCAAATCATCCACTTCAGACTTCAGCAGGCCTCACGCCTGAGTACTGGATGTGATCTGTGGGACCACTTTTCAGCATCACTTTCCCCCTCAGTACAAGTACATATACAGCACGATGACAAAACTGTACCAGAATATAGTTGATCATTATTTTCTACATAAACAGAAACTGCCATCTGCTAGATGCTCTAATACATAACGTAGCATGTGGCCAGGTACAGCAACCTCAGACAGCAGACGTCCTGCTGGTGCCTCAGTGAACCACTGCCTGGTGGACCAGCAGCTCCCAGCCTTGTGTGAGACAGCTGCCCTTGTCTCTTGTGGCTGAGCCTGTGAATATGAGGTGATTCTCAACTGTAAAACATTGCTGCATTAGATCAGCCCCCCTTATACCAGGCACAAAAAAA